CAGGGAGGGGTGGAGTCCCAGGCCTGTCGCCTGCCAGTGGCTGTAGCTGAATGTTGTCCCCATCCCATCGCGATCCCTGGCCGTCCTCTTAGATGATTTTGATCAGTGCCCGGTTCCAAGAGGAAGTTTATCGCCAACCACAACACCTGTGCACAGCAAGGTGCCCTGGCCAGGGTGAGTCTGGGCTCACACCTCCGGTGGGGTGCCTGCCCGCCCCCATCGCACAGCCCAGCCGGGGATGCCCCAACAGCTGGGGACACGCCGAGACCACCCGCAGAGACATCGGTTTTGCAAGTGGCCTTGGACAGGAAAGGCAATGCACGCAGAGGGAGTAACCGGGAATGCTCCCAGGCGATGAGCGGTGTGGAGATGCTGATGGGATTTTTTTTGCATGGCAAATACAACCCAGGAATTCACGGGGATAAGGCAGAGCAAACATTAACCTCCTGTGCCGGTGGCTTTGCAAAACAGCGGGTGCCACGGCTCTTTTCGTTTGCTGCTCCTTTTTAATGGAAAAAGAGTTTGTGGCTCAAAGCAAGCTGTAAATTAATAGCTAAGTGAAATCATTATGTCAGTGGCATGCTTTAGTCGGTAAACAAAACATTGCTTGAGGTACGATGCATATTCGTAGGCAGGAGGGAAACGCAGGCGGGTACCCGGGACGTGGAAACCCAACGGGGTCATCGAACTTGGCCCCGGCCCAGTCGCCCTCCACCCTGTCGGCCAGCAGGGAATTCGGAGCAAGCGTTTCCCCTCCGAGCAACAGAGGCCCCGGGCCTCCAACCCCGCCGCATTCACACCGCTGATGGCCAGGCGTTTGCAACCCCTTTGCCTTAGAAAGGCTTCATTAAATTACCACAGACAAACTATTTTGGATGGGTGGTGGGCGTGGGGGGGGGGGGTCCCAATGCTGCTCTCTCGTCCCCTCAGGCGGCTTGCACCCGAAACGCCAGGGCAGAAAGGAATAAAAGGGAGAGAGGGATATCTCTTTAAGAGGAAAATAATCTCAACCCGCGGTGCCAGTTCGGGCTGCCCCGGGAGGCGAGGCGTGGCGTGGCGTGGCGAGCGCGCCGCGGGGAAACCGGGAGAAGCAAACCCCGCTCCCCGCGTACTCCCGCCCCTTCCCCCGAAGCCGCGGAGCCCCCACCCGCGTCGGCCACACCCCGGCCGTGCCCCGGCCCCGCTCCGGCCCGGGGGGGCGCTGGGTGGGCGGATCGACGGCGAGAGTGCCCCTCCCTCTGCCGGCCCCTCCCGGCAGGGCCGGCCGTGGGACTCCGATACACCTGCCCGGAGGGGGCTGGGGCCACAGCAATGATGACAAGAGCAGCCCAGTGTTAGGGTTCAGTTCCAGCTGATTTTATTTCCTTCCCGAAGAAAAAAAAAAAAAAACAACAAACCAACAACAACAAAAAAACCAAACAAAAAGCCAAAACAAAAAAAAAAAGAAAAAAACAAAACAAAAAAAAGAGAGGTTATTTACAGAAGGTATATCAACAATCTGACAGGCAGTGAACTTGACATGGTTAGCTGGCATGATTTTTTTTCTTTTTTTTTTTTTTTAATTCCCCACCTTGCATTGTGGGTGATCGTTAAACTTAAAAAAAAAAAAAAAAAAAAAAAAAAAAAAAAAAAAAAAAAAAAAAAAAAATCTACACAGCATATTGCACAGGATGGATGACCAAAAAAAAAAGAACAAAAAAAAGAACAAAAAAGTTAAATCCTTAACGGAACCACCTCATTAGGCAGACGTCCTAGTGCCTGTCATGTTATATTAACATACATAAACACACAATCTTCTTTTTTGCTTATTATAATACAGACTTAAATGTACAAAGATGTTTTCACTTTCTTCATCTTAAACACAACAGCTATAAACCTGAATACATAAGCTATCATCATGCCATAAGAGACTAAAACAATTATATTTAGCGACAAATAGAAAGGATTAAATAGTCAAATACAAGAATGAAAAACGCAGTACATAGTGTCGCGAACTCAAACCGGCATTTCGATAGATCCAGTGGTTTAAACGGCACGTTTTTGCTCAGAAAAAAAGTGCAAAAGATGTGGTTTACAAGTTAAAGGTACAGGATCCCTTCTGTGTAAATGCACCAGTTGCTTTACTTCATTTGGGGACAGGTGGTTCCCCAAAACGGTAGCATACAGTGTATATATATATCCCTTCCCTCCGGTCCCCTCGCGCCCCCTCCGCAAAGAGGCGGGGGGCTGCAGAGCGGGCAGCGGCGGGGGCAGTGAGGGATGCTGTCACTTTAAGATGCCTGCAGATTGGAGTGTAAACATGGACAAAATAGGGGCTGATTCGTGGGTGTGTGAGAGTGTGAGTGAGCGTGAGCACGCACACGCGTGTGAGATACTAACCAGCGGCCCTGTTGTTAAAATCAGGAAATCCAAACAGCGATTTACACCGATTTACACCCCCTTTATATATTTTTTACAAAAATACACTGAGAAAATAATCAAACGTTTTCATCTCTCTTCTCTTTTTGTTTTTAAAAGTGTCAAAAGTCTACATTTAAATATAAAAAATTAAAAGTTAAAACTCTAGCCCTTCAGTGAAGGAGACATAAAAATGGTGCGGGTAACAACAAGAACTACCAAAAAAGGACAAAGAAATACAAGTCAAAAATGTTTGGCCAGTATAAATACGTCCACTTATAAAATGGCATCCGATTACATTTACAAGGAAAAAAAACAATACGAGGATGGAGCATCGGTGAGAAAAAACAGTCTTTTCATTTACAGCTATAAGGAACAAACACATACATACTCTGAGAAAAAATTTGGTCCTGAATTTCATATTGTTAAAGTCCAGCACAGATTTGAGTTGCGTTTGAATCCTTTAAAGAGTTAAGAATGAAAAAAAGCTGGTGATATTTTTGTAGGAATCAAACATAGCGCCATCTATCTGCTTTTATATTATCCTAACACTAGTTTGTTTTTTTTTAACTGTTCAACAGTCTTACAGAAATCTTGAAAAGATAGACAGTATAACATGCTATATTAAACCCCACCAGTGAAATAATCCAACACCATCACGATTCTGAGTAAGAAGAAAAAAACTACTTTTTTTTTTTATATTTTCGGGTTTGTGGTTTTTTTTGTTTTTTTTTTTTTTTTTTTTTTTTTTTTTTTTTTTTTTTTTTTTTTGCAAAAGCCATCGCCCTCCGTTTCCCCTGTACCACATCATGACAGAAACTGTTTCCATTCGGTCTCTGTTTCAAAAGAAGTTTTCAGTGTTCTCCAAGTTTCAGCCTTATTTTTCTCTCTACATATAACACGAGGTGACTGAGAAAAGCGCTGCTGTCACCTCATCTGTACGTGCAAATCCGTTTCAGTTTATTATTATTTTCCCCCCACCGTATTTCCAAGACAGCTCTCAAGTGTAAGCCTGGATCTTCTCCGGTTAACTAGGACTCAGTCCAGCTCCATCCACCTCCTCCTCCTCCTCCTCCCAGCATCGCCGCCTCTCACCACAGAAGAAACCAGGACAGGATTTCTCCCCCCTAGACGTGAACCTTGCAAGTCTTTGGGTGGATTTTTTCTTCTCTCTCTCTCTCTTTTCTTTTCTTTTTTTTTTTCCCAAGCAGTTCTGATCGCTCTTTCACAGGAAAGGGCGAATCCACAAGACATCCAGTGTGCGCTCAGCACAACGCATCGCTTCCCCTCCTCTTTATTCGTGTAAAGTGGGCAATAACAAAGAACCCAGAGGTGTGTGTGGTTCCCCCCTCCCTCCCCCTTTCTCCGTCTCTCCTTTCAGGAAATAAAATGGAAAAAGGCAGCGTTTCGCTCCCGCCAGTCTCTAAAAAAGCACCGTCAGGCTCCTCTCTCGGAGGGGGCGTGTGCGGGTCCGTCTGCAGACAGAGGAAAGGGACTGCTTGCCTTTCCGCAAGGAGAGAGCGATCCCGATCCTGCCGCCTCTTTCCCCGAGCACAAGAAGCAGTCTTTCAACAGCCCCTTTCCAGAAACAAACAAACAAAACAGAAAAAAAAAAAAAAAAAAAAAAAAAAAAAAAAAAAAAAAAAAAAAAAAAAAAAAAAAAAAAAAGCAAACACAAACACCAAAGAAAAGAGAAAAAAAGACACAAAAGCGCCCGGCGGGGTGGGCGAGTCCTGCCGACAGCCACGCGCGCCGGTGCCTCCTCCAGCAGGGCCCGGCTCTCGCCTCAGTAAGTGAAGACCAGGTTGGAAATGCTGGACTCCAGCCAGTCCCCCGAGATCATCTCACTTACCTCCGGCGTGCAGTAGTCCGGGAACTCAAAGTGCGAGCCCGAGCCGGGCTCGAAGTTAAAATCCAGGTCCCGGTCGAGCACCGAGGAGCTGAAGCTGCCCAGGGACATGCTCTCAAAGCCGGGGCTGGGGTTGAGGTCCAAGAGGTCATCCTCAAACTCGTCGTCCGACGAAGAAGAGCCAGAGGAGGAAGAGGAGGAGGAGTGGGAGGACGCGGAGGAGGAATGCGCCGTCGAGGGGGCCGGAGAAGAGGCGCGCAAGCTGGTGTAGCTGCGGTGATCCGAGGGCGAGCCGGAGCCAGAGGGCGAGGGACAGGCGACACCACCGCAGTCCCCGTCGGGCCGGCCCGCACCGCCGCCCCCCTCCTCGTAGAGGCTCAAGGGGTCACCGGCCTCCGCGGAGCTGCTCAGTGTGGGGCTGCCAGGCACGGCGCCGCCGGGGGAGGCGGAGGCGGCCGCCGCCTGCCCGCTCCCGAAGATGTAGACCCGCTTCAGCTTCTTCTCGGCCAGCGGCTTGCCGGGAGCCGAGGGCGCGCCCGCCGCCCCCCGGGGCTTGTACAGCGCCTGGTGCTCGGGCGGCAGCAGCGCGGCCGACGGCTCCCCGGGGAAGGGGGCGGCCTTGCCGCCCGCCGCCTTGCCGTGGGGCTTGCCGCCCGCGCCCGCTCCGCCGCCGCCCGCGGGGGAGGGCTTGGAGGAGCCGCCGCCGCCCTTCTTCGGGGCGGGCTTGGCGGGGGCCGCGGGGCCGCCGGGGCCGCCGCCCGCGCTGCCCCCGCCGGCGCCGCCCCCGCCGCCCTTGTCCGCCTTGTCGCCGGGCTTGGCGGAGCTGTTGCCCGACTTCACCTTCTTCCTGGGCCGGTACTTGTAGTCAGGGTAGTCCGCCATGTGCTTGAGGCGCAGCCGCTCCGCCTCCCGGATGAAGGGGATCTTGTCGCTGTCCTTGAGCAGCTTCCAGCGCTTGCCCAGGCGCTTGGAGATCTCGGCGTTGTGCATGTCGGGGGACTGCTCCATGATCTTTCGCCGCTCGATCTGCGACCACACCATGAAAGCGTTCATGGGCCGCTTTATGTGCCCGCTGGGCGTCTTGCACCAGCTCGGATCGTCCGCCTTGCCCCCCGTGGAGGCGGTGGAACCCGGCGTGGGGGAGGAGGCGATGCCCAGCTCGATGCCGGACCCGGAGTCGGAGGTCTCGGCGGCCAGCAGCGCCTCCGTGTTCTCCGCCGTGTTGGTCTGCTGCACCATCGCGGCGGCGGCGGCGGGGGGCTCGCCGGGGCTCAGCGCCGCTCCGGCGCGGGGCAGGGCGCGCAACTTCTCACAGCGGCACCGGGGCGGCGCAGCCCCCCGCGGCCGCGCCCCCGTTCCCCGCACCACTTGTACTTCCACACCGGCGCC